CCAAAACCCCAAAACCCCAAAACCCCAAAACCCCAAAACCCCAAAACCCCATCAGGATAAAATTAGATAGAAAGTGTTGAAAATACAAGTAAAAACTAAGTCTTTATGTTCAGTGATTTAAAGTTTAGATTCAGTGGAAAGTCAGTCCACCAGGAATGTTTTCATTATGTCTTCTTTTCAGTTTGCTCTTACAATTGCTCTTTCAATTCACTTTCACTATTGATCTTGTCTACAGCTTTCTTGACTTTACTGCCAACAAATATCATAATGCATAGTCCACCAAGAAGCATGAAGACGCTTCCACTTGATACCTTTCCCGCTTTCTATTGTGGTATAAAATTTCCATCCTCATCAAACATATTGTCCTCATCAATAGGAACATTATTTTGGTTAACAAAATCCATAAAAGAGGAAAATTGTGAAGCAGTGAAAGCTTAAAATGGTGAAGTGACAGCACTTTGAATGAAAGTAACTGTCATATAAGTGGAGAAGTTGATAGGCAGTAGAGCTAGACCATAGTTTCTAACTATTATGGGAATGCTTGCGAATCTAAGAAGGAGCCCATACTTCAGAGGCTCACGTCTGACTAGCTCTTATAGCCCCTTAAGATACTTTGAAGTCATATAACTCTGTCTAGTTTGCTCGCTTATAAGATAGTTGGCTGCATAGAAAGTCATGCCTGCTCCCATCATTTTAGAAATTATAAGAATTAGTGTGGCTTCCTAGACGGTGTATACTATTCCCAAAACCAGATCCAAAAATTATAGTGGAATTGCTAATACTGTGAATGTAGCTGACATAAATGCATAAGCTAGCATACCGACGATACCATAGTCTCTAAGTAAAGTGACATATTCATCTATGAACTTGATGAAACTTGGGTTGTTTTAAAGTTAATAGGTGCCTAAGCTGATCACTAGGATATAGATAATGATGAGCAATACCTTTCCACTTATTTTCATATTGATTTATTATTTCTATTTATCTTTTAATTTTAATAGAGCTTGATGGGGTTTTGGGGTTTTGGGGTTTTGGGG